TTTGACAAGTTACAAGTCGGAGCATAGCGTCAAGACCGGCTCAAAAAGTGACTGGAAAAAGTTCAGAGCAGAGCATCAAGAGCGTGTCACAAGCTGCATGTGCCTGTGTCGGACAAAAGTTTCCGACCCCCTCCTTCCCCCCCACCTTCCCCCCCACCCCCCTCCCCAAAAATAATCACACGGTCAATCGTCGACAATGTTGTGAAACGTTTCAAGCATCTTGCAACGTGCCAAGCATCTTGCAACGTGCCAGCTATCTTGCAACGTCACAACATCTTCTAAATGCGCCATCTGTGACAAGTTACAAGAGAAAATTCGGAGCATAGCGTCAAGACCGGCTCAAAAAGTGACTGGAACAAGTTCAGAGCAGAGCATCAAGAGCGTGTCACAAGCTGCATGTGCCTACGTGTGTCGGACAAAAGTTTCCCCCCACCTCCCCCACCCCAAAAATAATCACACGGTCATTCGTCGACAATGTTGTGAAACGTTTCAAGCATCTTGCAACGTGCCAACTTTCTTGCAACCTCACAACATCTTCTAAATGTGCCATCTTTGACGAGTTACAAGAGAAAATTCGGAGCACAGCGTCAAGACCGGCTCAAAAAGTGACTGGAAAAAGTTCAGAGCAGAGCATCAAGAGCGTGTCACAAGCTGCATGTGCCTGTGTCGGACAAAAGTTTCCCACCCCCCCCACCCTCCTAGCATGCTAGAGTTATATATATATATATATAGATATAGATATAGAAACCCCATTTATACTTCCTGCTACGTCAGAAATTTTGTAAGAAATATAGTGTGTCACATTGGGGACCGTTCGAGAAAAGAACAAAGAAATTAAATTCCTCTCATCTCCTTTCATGTCCTCTCACGGCTCCCCCTCATTTCATTTCCTTTCTTTTCATGTCCTGCGTGCGACCTGGTTGTCTGACTCGCGACCTGGTTGTCTGACCCGCGACCTGGATGTCTGACTCGCGACCTGGTTGGCTGACGCGCGACCTGGTTGGCTGACTCGCGACCTGGTTGGCTGACGCGCGACCTGGTTGGCTGACTCGCGACCTGGTTGGCTGACTCGCGACCTGGTTGGCTGACGCGCGACCTGGTTGGCTGACTCGCGACCTGGTTGGCTGACGCGCGACCTGGTTGGCTGACTCGCGACCTGGTTGGCTGACTCGCGCCTTCCTGGTTGGCTGACTCGCGCCTTCCTGGTTGGCTGACTCGCGCCTTCCTGTTGGCTGACTCGCGCCTTCCTGTTGGCTGACTCGCGCCTTCCTGTTGGCTGACTCAGGTTGGCTGACTCGCAGCCCTGTTGGCTGACACGGTCTTCGCCCGTGTTGCTTCGACCAACATCTTTGGCGTTTGAAACTCCATTTGTTGATGATACATGTCTTAAATCACCAACCAGCTTCGCTTGGTCTTCGGAGTCTTCGGTGCCAGCATTGCTTTGGAGAGATCGGGATCCCACATCGTCTCCTCGTGTCGTCGCACGCAGCAGAAAATCCACCGCTGGAGCCAATAGAAAATGCTGTCCTGCCTGAAGGGCAACAGTTCACCTTACCCAGCAGTGGGTACTTAGATTAGTTTCCCATCTTTCCCCAAAGGACCTGGAATTTGGTAAAGTGCTTCCAAGGCGCTGGAAAACTCAAAATGAAATGCGCAGGGTTCAGAAAAACCGACATCTTTGACCATTCTCAGATGCAACCAAACCTGCTGGCCCCATAGGCACCAGTTCAGTTCTGTCAAAAACTGAACAAAAGTTGCACTATCCCTCGTCTGTGATTCAACTGCATCCTCAAGCCCAGAAACTACCAACTAACATCGGATTTTTATCAACGCTCACAATAACGCGGCCCAGGTTTCTTATGGTTTCTTCTCAGCCTCCCCTGATAAGTCCCACGAAATCCCACAAAGTTCCAGACGAGATGAACCAACAAACTTAAATTCATCCAAGAATCCAAGTATTGGGACGTCCTACAAAATGTCCCCTTTAACATCCAGCACTTCGAATCACCAATCTCTGACCCCGGCCTCTGCTTTCGTTCAATTGATCTCACGAGACCCTTCTGTACAGCAGCCTCCCCAAGCACAGGAAGGAGAGGCGTCAGAGCGCAGCACAGGGGAGCCACCAAATGGACATGCGTGGTCCAATCCTTACCTTTTCGATGCTTAGAACATCTTAGAACCATGTCTTTCAGTTTCAACCCTTTGAAAAATGGTGAAAAATTAGGCAAGTCATTGGGTATCATCCTTTCAGTTTGGTGGAAAATGAAACATATTGTAACCACCGACCAGTCGCTGATCGCCAGGTATTTCGCCAACAGAGTCTCTAGGCAAGCCAGGTCTGCAAGCGTCCCAACGCTGTAAGAGCTAACGCTCAGATCTTCAATCAAGGGTACCTCGTGGGCGGATTGTGTCTATGGAGTGTGTACATCCAAGCCACTTGCAGCAAGTTGAAATAGCGAAAAAACATTGAAACATGGCCCTGGGGTCCAGGCCCAAACTAGAAATCCTGGAAAATCCAACAAACTTTGCGGTCCCAGCGACGACACTTTCACCAAAGGTTGCATATTGCTCTACGTTGGACAACAACTGTGCCGTCTCTGCCAGCAATTCATCGCAGCGTTGGCCCAACCTCTCCGTGGCCGTCTGCTCCTGGGGCAGCTGCCGCAAGGCACTCTGCACCTGCGCTAGCAGCTCCCGGAGGAACCAGGGCAGATCACCTGCGTTGAGACTTAACCACAGCAGCACCTGAAGCCTTTCCTCCAGCTGACGCAACGGTGAAACTGTGCAAATGTAGTCCGCCAAGGATCTGGCACAAGAAATCTTGGTCTCCAACTCCTGGTGCGATCCCCTTGAATGGGCGATGGAGTAAGTTGTGCTGAGCACTTCGTAGCCCAGTGATCCAGTGTCCAGGAAAACCAGGAAACCCAGGAAACCCAGGAATAGGGTATCATCATGAAGTATAGCGATGTATAATTTATAATCTTTCATCACAAAGCGCCTAGCGGCTTAGCGACTACCTCATGGCCAATCCCAACGTCCTGTCTCTGCGATTGGCAGTGAAGTGAAGCGAATATGGCTAGCAATTCATCATCCATTGGCTACAGTTGGCTACAGTTGGCACTCTAATGAGCCTAAAACAGCTGAAATGAATTGGAATGACTGTAGATCATTACAGATTTGTCCAGGTTATGAAAGATGTATAACTCTGAAGATAGAAATATAATGAGATATACAGAGAGATGCTCAGCCAAAGATTCGTAATAAGTCAATATAAGTCACTTCGTTACTCAGACACTGCACTACCGCCCTGCACCGCCCTGCACCGCCTTCACACAGGCGAAAGTCCTTGGACGTCGGACACGGTGTGAAGAATTTTCCCCATGCACTGCATCGAGTAGAATTTCCCAATGCTATGGTGTGCTATTGGTCCATGAAAAATGTTGAGCCATTTTGATGCTAAATTGTATTGTAAAAAAAGTGCTGATATGATATGACAAGACCGTACATATAGACATGGATGGCACACTTCCTGGATATATAAAGCAAAATGGTCACCGGCCAAAGAGTCCAATTTGGGGTCACATGTCGATCTGAAATGAAGCTGTAACTGAGGGTTGGGCCGCTCCCATTGCCCCCTTGGCCTTCGAAACGCAAGGATTTTAATGGACCGAAACAACATCGGAAACTCATGGCCGAGGCATTTCACCTCTGATGTTTCCACTATCTGGAAGCCATCCAAACATCCAAACGTTGTGACTGTGTTCAAGGGTGGAACAAAAATCTGTAGATGTCAAAGCTGAGGTTCAACCGCTTACTCGGCTTACTCACTCTTTCAAGCCATCAGCAGCGTCACGGTCAAACCTCAGATCACTTTGCACATGCAAAAGCCACTTCAAGAGTTGTGACATGTCAGAGATTATTTAACCCATTGCTTTGAGAAAGCGTTGGATACTTTCACCCAACCAATGCAAAGGCATCAGAAACTGCAAAAAAACGATTAAGTTCTTGAAACAGATGTGGCACGGCTCAAATCATCAGCATTCAAACACATCCACAGATCTGAAGCATTCTAAAGCTGTCCAAAGACATTTTTGCAACAACACCCCTCTGGCTCCATGAAAGGCTGTCGCCTAAAAACATAAAACCCATGCTCCAAAAGTCAGTTACATAAGCTACAGAAGGATATGTTCCTGGTCCGCTGGTGCTGCTTCCGAATGAGTCTGTTCGAACAGACCCACCAGATCCCACCAGGAAGTTGGGACAGAGGCCTTTCGCTCCAAGGCTCCAGCACACTGTCATCGACCATCATGGCTGCCATGGCTCAGCTGAGAGTTGAACTCGAAGTGCCTACTTGGAACAAATCTGTTGGGAAATCCCCATGCTCAGCAGAAATAAAAAAAAAAAACATCCAAAAATGCCACCGATGTTCCAATTCCCAGTGGGTAGAAGACTGAAAGAAATTGCAATAACAAATCAGCCCCATCCAATTAGCACGTACCTTGGAGAAGTTCATAAAGTAGGATAAACACGAAGTGACAAAACGCTAGACCACTAAGTGCCAAACACCTTTCATCTCAATCGTGCACAAGAAACAACCGGACTAGAGGTCGCGCGGATTCATGTCATGGAATTCAAATAGCATCAAATAGCAGCAACGCGCATCCTTTGTTGCACGAGCAAAACTTCACTTGAAGCATTCTTGCCTCTCAATTACCAAGTGAAATGCCGTTGGACCTCTTCATTGCAAATTGTTGGAAGCATCCAAACTCCCAGTTGAAATCAACCTTGACCACTGCAAGCCTGTTGGAATCTTGTGCGCAAGCCTGTCCTTTCCTACCTGTGATTCCTATCATGATCCCATCGCCATCCTTATCGGCAACATCGGGAAAATCCCATCAACATTGGGTTACCCGGTTACCCAAAAGGTTGGATAAAAAGGTTTTAAATTAAGTTTCAAATGGTTTGAACGGATGTTTTAGGCCCCAAATTGCTCCAGCAACATCTGCTCCGTTCGCTGCTGCATCTGCAGCAGCTCCGCCGCCGCGTTGAGACCTTCGGAGCTCAGCACTGCCTGCAGAGCCAGCGGCGTGCAGCGCGTTTGGGCGCCGTAGAGCGCCACGGCCACGTGCTGGGCACCACAACGGGCGCTGCAAACGATGACCTGAGAATGGTGGAGATATGTTATGAGATTCAGATTGATCGTTGATTTTATCCAAAAATTGGGAATACCGATCATGATGGACAGATATTTCAAGTGATGGCACTTTTTGACATCCAAAATGACACATTCTATGGGAAAACTTGATTTTCTCAGCTGGGGATTCTGGGATGTCCACAAGAAATGTAAGAAATGTGTGATTCAGCAACACGTGGATTGAAGCACTATGTATAGTATGTATTTGCTACAGTTTGGGTCCTGTTTAGAATCCCATGATGACCAGTACATCCAGCCATCTCCACGAGTGACAAAGCAATAGCAACAGGTTTCAACTCCTGTGATCGCCATGCCATCTCTAACTAGCGCCGACCAAAAAACAGTTCCTGGGATGTTATTTGAAATTGGTATCTGGTGATCGTGGGTACCATTTCAAAACTGCGACTCTGTGCTGACAAGTGGTTACAAGCCATTAGTTAAACATCTACAGGGGAGCATCCAAGGGGGCAAACCATCTGACCTGGGCGTGATCTGGGCGTCCAAGGCGTCCAAGGCACTGAAGAATAGGTGATCTCATTGCTTCGCAGTTGATTTTCTTCCGCTTGGTGCAATAAATGCAGTGCCTGCTGCCATTTCGTCGCTTGCTCACAAGCCCTGATGGCCGCATTGTGGAGGATCAGATCTCCTGGGGGGAAGTTTCCGAGCAATTTCGGAGATGTAGCCTGAAAAAAGATGTGGCTGAGCAATTTATTGTTCCTTTCTTGTTGGTGAGCAGCAATGTTTTTGTTGAGGTATAGCCGCTATAGCCATATCCTGTTAGTCAGCCGATTGTACTTGTCCACATATTCTGGTTGCTCATAGCCAAATGGTTCATCGCTTGATTCAAACGATTTGTGACGCCCGGGCCGGATCTCCTTCCAGTCGTTGAAGCTCCACTTCACCCAGCAGGTGTATTGCTTCCTGCCACTTCGCAGACTTTTCACAGGCACCTGGAAAAAGGGATGATTCAGGTCAAAAATTAATAAGGATGTTGACCAACAATAATAAGGCATACAGCCTTCAAATAGTGAAAACACCTTTAAAAAATGAGGTATCCCAACTGTTTCTCCATGAAATGAGGAAATAAAATCCCCATTGATCAGGCACTATGGGACTAGGGCTTTTACTTGAGGGCACAACGAAAGACAAGAACCATTTTTCTGGCTGTTGACCGGCACCATCGGTACCTGTGAAAAACTGTTCTCGCCTGGTTGCCGGTGATTTTTCGGTTCTCCGGCGAACAGATTGGTAAAGGGGTTCTGGAAGTTCTGCCCCACCTAATACCCTCTGGTAAATTAACATAGCTATTGAAAATGGCCAGTTATAGTGGATTTTCCCATTAAAAATGGTGATTTTCCATAGTTATGTTAAATTACCAGAGGGTATACCAATAGAAATGAATGTTTCAAACGGATTACTTTCCCTCTTAATCTCAGAATTTGCCATCCTTGCCGCAATATCCAGAGAATCGGGCAAAGTGGGATGGTTTAGCGGGTTGATGTACTACTATACCCGCCGAACAAAAACAAGAAAATTTGGTGGAATCGAATGATATCCAATGTATAGGATCTGGTCTTGGCATGGTCAAAATGATCAGGGGAAGGTCTTCTTATTTTAGCCATAACATCCCGTGTTTCTTGGTGCACGTTCTTGCGTGTGATGGCTAAACACCATTGAAACAAACCAAAAATGTGCATGTGGATGCATGTGGTATATATCTACCCTCCATATTTTTTAACCCAGCTGTTATCCCCTGGGATGACTGCTGCATTATTTTTTTGCATGGGATGACCCGCCAAGGCACTGACTGCAGCACTGAAGGTGATCAACGTGGCCTGCAGCTGCCACTGCTGCAACTGCTGTAGCACTGCCAGGGCAGCTCTCCATTCCTCTGCCTTTTCACAACTACCTGGTGCTGAAATCGATTCATCCCTACGGTGGTATCGGGCCTTAAAGGATCCAAAAAGAATGAACTAAAACTCTAACACGAAATCGAAAAGGGGCTCCCTGAAAAGAAACAAAATTCCTAGGAATGGTATGATTTTTCTAGAACACCTGTGAACCAACAACTCACGGTGTTTTAATCAGATGCATTTAAACAAGACTGGTGTATAGGGTGCACAACCAATCAGTGTACTGTGTTACCTTGGCCAAAAAAAAAAATCTCTTCAAAATCCAGTGGCACTATGTAGATTGACATGCATTCTCCAGGGGGGAAAAACATGCAGAGAAACTCAAAAGGCCCATAAGTGCTGTAATCAATTGCCAGATTTGCCTGGATTACGATCAATGTCCATTCTGAAAAGATTCGGGTTTGTCCAAGAATGTGGTTTATTCATGCTTATTCCAACTTATAGCAATTCCAAAGGCAAAAATGATGGCTAAACCATTGGACTTGCAGATACCAACCTATTTTTTGCTTCGCCAGGGCTCTGATGGCCGCGTTGATGGAAATCGCTTCGGGCCTCAGCTGCCGTTGTACCAAGCTCTGCAGGACTGCCAGCGCCTGCTGCCATTCCAAAGCCTTTTCACAGGCGGTCAGCAGCGCGTTGAAGGTCACTATGTCCTCAGAAATTCTGGATTTTTTTTGGAAAATCAAGGCTGGAAAAACATCCCGCCGGGTTGGAAATGGGCCGAGTAGAAACAGCATTTTCATGTGACTGGCAAGAAGTCAATCATGCGTTTCGCAGTGTTTTTTCATGTTTCTATGTTGTCCATGAAGGTCAATTCTATTGTGATTTTGAATTTTCATTGGGATTTACTGTATATAGTCGACATGTCGGAGTGCGAAAAAGGTTCCTTTTGGGAAGTCAGCGTGCCCAAAACCTCAGCGGCAGCCATTTTTTCCGGTGATCTCTACATCTTCGCTAAGTACGCACCTGTTTTCTCCAACAGCGCTTTTCCAACTACATTTGCCTCCCATCGCCACTGCCATGTGCGAACGTACGTCCAAATGAGGTCATTCAATTTTTGTTCGTTTTCTGGGCAAGATGTCAACTGATCGGGAACACTGGCAAGTACGTGAACGTTATTACCCCACCCCACCCCACCCCTGCGTGACGTGACACATCTTTAACGTAGCATGACGTATGTGCGCACGTGCAAGTGAACGTGCCGTGGCGTAACATCATGGGAGTGCGCAAGTACGTGAACGTTATTGCCCCACCCCACCCCACCCCACCCCTGCGTGACGTGACACATCTTCAACGTAGCATGACGTATGTGCGCACGTGCAAGTGAACGTGCCGTGGCGTAACATCATGGGAGTGCGCAAGTACGTGAACGTTATTACCCCACCCCACCCCACCCCAAGGAACATATATAAAAATGACTAAAACGCTCGGACGGTTTTCAACCCGTAGGCAAAAACATGATGCCAGGAGTTTCTGAGGAAGACTCTGATTTGGAATTGGTGCGTATGATGATAGTGAAGTGGGTATATAGGTCAGATTTTCAGCTAGAAGTGGTAAATGCATGATATGGTGTCTTGCAGAGATATTGATGGCCCATCACTCTCGACCGAAAGGATTTTCCTGTTGCGATTGGAGCACCTCGTCACAGAAACACGCACACAGAACTGGGGCTGAAAAAAACACACTGAAAGCAGTAACCAGTGCAACCAGCATCTGGTTCAAGCTGCGCCCCTTCCAGACTTTCCAGTAAACACAAGGCCTGTTGCCACGCAGCACCCACCGCAGTGATGCAGGCGTTGTATGTCGGAAGCGTCCACTTTTTATCCAAAAACTCCAAGGCCAGTTGCCACTGGCTGCTCTGCCGCAGGGCTGTGATGGCCGTGGTATAGGACACCACACTGGGTTCTAAAAACCGGTCCTGCGCACGCTGCAACCAATGCAGTGCCTCCGCCCAGCGCGTGGATTTCTGGCAGGAATTCATCAGGGCGTTGTACGTGATGATGTCAGCTTGCAACAGGACTCCTGACTTAGAGAACAAATGAGGATGTTGTACAGTGAAGCTATGGTGAAGCGCCGTTTTTTTTGAATTTGAATATAACTCCGAATAATTAATCACGTCACCTGTACTCAAATCACTAGATCGAATTCGGAAATGCAACAGGAGATCATGGGAAGAATGGCATCCAAATCATCCAAATTTGGCGTGTGTCTTTTAAAAAAATAGGCTCCTGGAACCAATTCTGGTGAACAAAACTTTAAGCCCTTGCAAAATGCGAGTCTGTCCAAAAGTTGGGAATAGACCTGCAAAATCCACTACCAAATTTTGGTAAAGGAAACCTCTGAGGGACGTTTGAGAATACCAGGCTCCTTCTAATGTACAGAACAACTCCAGTGCCTCTTGCCAATGCTCATCACAGGCAGTGATGGAAGCATTGTACAGAAAGACTGTTGGAGTGATCTTCTTGGAACCAACCTCCTGCACCAAATCCAGCGCCTCCTTCCATTTTACAGCTGCCGCACATGCACTGATGGCTGTTGTATAGGTTACAATGCTCACGTCCAACTTCCTCTTCATTTCTTTCAGCAGCATCAGTGCGAACTGCCATTCTGCTGCTTGTCTACATGCCTCCAACAATGAGTTGTAAGTGATCAGATTGGGATTCAGCTGCTGTTCCACCAAAATCTTCTCCAACTCCATGGCCAACTGCCATTCCGAAGCAACTGCACTGATCAGGGAATTAAAGGTGATCACGTCCGGCTGCAGCTGCCAATCATCCAACTGCCTCAAGACACCTAGGGCTGCTGGCCACTGGGCTCCTTTGGACAGGGCACTGATGAGGGCGTTGAAAGTCACCACCGATAGCTGCAGATCCCCCAAGTCGCCAAAAATCTGCAGCGCACGGATCCACTGGGTGGATTTGTCGCACGCACTGATGATGGAAGTGCAGGAGATCACATCTCCCTCCAAGTTGAGCTCGAAGATTTCAGCAAAGAGATCCAAGGCACGCTCCCAGCAGTGGGCTTTTCCACATGCACTGAGGGCCGTATTGAAACTCACCACTGAAGGTTGGCCGAGCTGCTGTAGGTTCTGCAAGACCTGCAGAGCAGCTTGCCACTTCCCCGCTTTCTCGCATGCCGATAGCGCTGCATTGTGCAGGATAACCTCGACAATCGGGAGAGTGAGTTGAAGGGATAAAATGGGATAAATTCAAATTCAATTCAAAATAAAAATTAGAGGTGAACTATTCACAGATGGTGAATTGTATTAGAATTCACTATTCACATTGCCCACTTGGATTGAACACGAATGGGCAATCCACAGAAATTCACGGTGAATTTCGGACACAACAAAGAGCCACCCTCAACAGCTCCAGATGGTCACCGGAAACCGGATTTGGAAACTATGGCGGTTTTTATAATGACCAAAAACCAATGGGGTGTGACCAAGGGATATATAACATACATATAACATATATATTATATATATAACATATATATATATAACTAACAAAATCTATAAGAAGATGTATGTGCAAGGTATGCGCAACATCACATCATCTGCGTAACAGAAAAAACCTATGTTCACGTATGGTAACAACATGCGTACCGGTAGCGTAGCAATATGTTCCATCAGCGTGACATCCGCGTAGCAACATGTTCCATCAGCCCCACCCCACCCCAGCCCACCGTACCAGCATACCTTGCACAACATCAAAGTAAACAGCGAGTCAGCCGATACCCAAGAAAAAAAAACACAAATAGTCCCACCCTTAAGTATGAACGTGTGGTCCATGATTTTGGAACCGTAGTTTATGAGTCGCACGAAATAGTTTCCTAATCGTAGTTTCTTAATCGTACGCAATAGTTTCCTAATCGTAGTTTCCTAATCGTACGCAATAGTTTCCTAATCGTAGTTTCCTAATCGTACGCAATAGTTTCCTAATCGTAGTTTCCTAATCGCACAAAATAGTTTCCTAATCGTAGTTTCCTAATTGTACGCAATAGTTTCCTAATCGTAGTTTCTGAATCGCACGAAATAGTTTCCTAATCGTAGTTTCCTAATCGTACGCAATAGTTTCCTAATCGTAGTTTCCTAATCGCACGAAATAGTTTCCTAATCGTAGTTTCTGAATCGCACGAAATTGTTTCCTAATCGTAGTTTCTGAATCGCACGAAATAGTTTCCTAATCGTGGTTTCCTAATCGTACGCAATAGTTTCCTAATCGTAGTTTCCTAATCACACGAAATAGTTTCCTAATCGTAGTTTCCTAATCGTACGCAATAGTTTCCTAATCGTAGTTTCTGAATCGCACGAAATAGTTTCCTAATCGTAGTTTCTGAATCGCACGAAATAGTTTCCTAATCGTAGTTTCCTAATCGTACGCAATAGTTTCCTAATCGTAGTTTCCTAATCGTACGCAATAGTTTCCTAATCGTAGTTTCCTAATCGTACGCAATAGTTTCCTAATCGTAGTTTCCTAATCACACGAAATAGTTTCCTAATCGTAGTTTCCTAATCGTACGCAATAGTTTCCTAATCGTAGATTCCTAATCGCACGAAATAGTTTCCTAATCGTAGTTTCCTAATCGTACGCAATAGTTTCCTAATCGTAGTTTCCTAATCGTACGCAATAGTTTCCTAATCGTAGTTTCCTAATCGTAGTTTCCTAATCGTAGTTTCCTAATCGTACGCAATAGTTTCCTAATCGTAGTTTCCTAATCGTACGCAATAGTTTCCTAATCGTAGTTTCCTAATCGTACGCAATAGCTCCCCAATCGTAGTTTCCTAATCGTACGCAATAGTTCCCTAATCGTAGTTTCCTAATCGCACGAAATAGTTTCCTAATCGTAGTTTCCTAATCGCACCCAATAGTTTCCTAATCGTAGTTTCCTAATCGTACGCAATAGTTCCCTAATCGTAGTTTCCTAATTGTAGTTTCCTAATCGTAGTTTCCTAATCGTAGTTTTATAATCGTACGCAATAGTTCCCTAATCGTAGTTTCCTAATCGTACGCAATAGTTTCCTAATCGTAGTTTCCTATTCGCACGAAATAGTTTCCTAATCGTAGTTTCCTAATCGCACGAAATAGTTTCCTAATCGTAGTTTCCTAATCGTACGCAATAGTTACCTAATCGTAGTTTCCTAATCGCACGAAATAGTTTCCTAATCGTAGTTTCCTAATCGTACGCAATAGTTTCCTAATCGTAGTTTCCTAATCGTACGCAATAGTTTCCTAATCGTAGTTTCCTAATCGTACGCAATAGTTTCCTAATCGTAGTTTCCTAATCGTAGTTTCCTAATCGTACGCAATAGTTTCCTAATCGTAGTTTTCTAATCGTACGCAATAGTTTCCTAATCGTAGTTTCCTAATCGTACGCAATAGTTTCCTAATCGTAGTTTCCTAATCGTAGTTTCCTAATCGTACGCAATAGTTTCCTAATTGTAGTTTCCTAATCCTACGCAATAGTTCCCTAATCGTACTTTCCTAATCGTACGCAATAGTTTCCTAATGGTAGTTTCCTAATCGTACGCAATAGTTTCCTAATCGTAGTTTCCTAATCGCACGTATTAGTTTCTGAATCGCGCGGAATAGTTTCCTAATCGTAGTTTCTAAATCGCGTATAGTTTCTGAATCGGGCAATGATCGCTCCAGCTTCCCGTAACGCCTTTCACCAATGAGCGAAGTTAGACCCAGCCCCTTCTTAGGCCATTCCAAAACCCATGTGTCTGGCACTTTCTTGCCCCAGCGGCAATCGGAAGATCCTTCCTGTGGAGATTCTGATGGAGCAACAGCAAGGCATTCTGCCACCGCTGTTGCTGTGCACATGCTCTGATGGACGCCACATCCATGGGAATCCATGGGAATCTGAGGAGACGTGGCTGCAGATTGCATCCCCAGGTGGAGAGTTCCTGATAGTTATGGAACCGACGGAACCGATGCTGTCTGTTTTGCACCGAGTCAAACTTCCGACTTTCAGGCGGTTCTTTTTGGGGAATTTTTCCCTTTTGCCCTACTTGCGATCGACGATTTGTCGACAGGCGTCTTGTGCGCTGCCCCGGTGAAACGAACAACTGGGATCGACGCACGTCTAGTTCTTCGCCAAGTCGCTGGAGAGAAAGAAAATTGAGTTTGCGAAATCAGAAAGCAGATCACCTTAAACGCTTCCCTAAATGATCTGTTGGATATTGATTAGGATATTTCTCAAATTTGATCCAGTTCTCGCTCACTTCTCACGGCTTCAGTGAAGCATTCGCCTGGGCCTGGAATCACTGGATCACTGGTCGCCCGGAAGGCATCAAGGCCCAACTGACGGGTAAAAACCTGAGGGGTAAAAACCTCATCACAGCAGAGCATGCTATACCTGAAGTATTTCTGACCTGTTGAAGTGCATTTGTGAGCTCAAAGTTGGGCTATGTCGATTTAAAATTTTCATTATTTGGACCATTTTGGACTTACCATTTGGGCGGTCATTCAACATAGACATTCAGACATCAACCATGCTCTTAAGTCCATCATTTCCATCATTTTGGGTGATACTCTTTTGTAGTTTCCCCATTTTTTGACCCATCCGCGGGCAACAACTCCACGTCGCGACGTGGCCTCAATGCATCGTGTCATCTCGGCACTGCTGTGGAAGCCCCAGGAGGCCCCAACCGTCGATTTGGCTTCCTGGTCGCAGTGGAACCCAAAGGCTGGTCATGTTTGGAAAAGCCTCCGGAAAAAAAAAAAAAAGTTTGAACATCAAGAGCATTCAAAGATTCAAGGGCTGCAAGGTGCAAGATGGAGTGCCCAACCCACTGTTACGTTCGCCTGTGATAATTGTGTTTAATTGTTTTCTGCACTAAGCCCACTTGAATGAGTCCGAAATCCCTATGCATCGCAAGCACGCCGCGAATCCTTGTTGTTCATAGGCGGTGACAGGGTTTGGAGTTACAATCTCAGTTCATCCTGAGGGTTTCTACGCTGTTTCACTGGGTTGGTGAGAAATCTGGTTCGGGAAAACGTCTGAAAACCAGCTACAAGTTGTGGTCTAAATTTGGTTTAAAGATGCCAATTATATACGCCTTACAGCCTCACTTTCCCAAGATGCGGCGAAAAAACGCTGGTCGTCGGTCGTCCTCTACAGATGCGCTGCGCTTGAAGGCTTCGAGCAGCTCCTTTAGGAGCCTCCGAGAGCGCCATGGTTTCAGCACAGATTTTAAACGAGTTGAATGTCTTGAAAAGATCTTTGAATGAATTTCGGGAATTGAATCACAACCAGGTAGCAATTATTTCTAACCAGTTTGGAGAATGGGATTTCAAACAATAAAATACTATATATATACATATATATATACATATACATATATATATATACATATATATATATACATATATATATATGTATATATATATATCAATACTATTCAATTCTATATGTATGTATGTCTGTATGGATGGATGGCTGGATGGATGCATGGATGTATGGATGTATGAGACGTGATCCGGAGAGAGGTCTGCAGAGTTGGTTTCCACCAGCGAAACCCGAAAACCGAAACCCGAAACCCGAAACCGACTGTTAAAGTTGGTTTCGAACTGCGAAACCCGAAACCCGAAACCGACTCTGAAGACTTAACTTCCGGATGTATGGATGTATGGATGTATGGATGTATGGATGTATGGATGTATGGATGCATGCATGTACGTGTTCATGTATTCATGTATTCATGTATTCATGTATTAATGTTTCATATATTCATGTATTCCTGTATTGATGTAGTCATGTATTCATGTATGCATGTATTCATGTATTCATGTTTCATATATTCATGTATTCCTGTATTCATGTAGTCATATATTCATGTATGCATGTATTCATGTCATGTCATGTCATGTATTGTTGTGTAATGTAATGTAATGTAATGTAACGTAACATAATGTAATGTATGTGATGTGATGTAATGTGATGTGATATGCTGTGATGTACTGTGATGTGATGCAAAGTAGTGTAATGCATGTAATGTGTGTGTAATATATGTCATGTATGTAATGTATGTTATGTATGGTATGGTATGGTATGGTATGGTATGTACTGTATGGTATGGTATGGTATGTAATGTATGGTATGGTATGTAATGTATGGTATGGTATGTAATATATGGTATGGTATGTATGGTATGGTATGGTATGGTATGGTATGGTATGGTATGGTATGGTATGTCATGTATGGTACAATATGGTATGGTATGGTATTTTTATATATAATGTAATGTATGGTATGGTATGTTATGTAGTGTATGGTATGGTATGTAATGTATGGTATGGTATGTACTGTATGGTATGGTATGGTATTTATATAATGTAATGTATGGTATGTTATGTGGTGTATGGTATGGTATGTAATAACGTATGGTATGGTATGGTATGGTATGGTATGTGGTGTATGGTATGGTATGTAATAACGTATGGTATGGTATGGTATGGTATGTAATGTAATGGAATGTATGGTATAGTATGTATACATACAAATATATATATATATATATTAATATATATATATCATATACGTATATGTAATCATATATCATATATCATATATCATATATCAACACCTTTGTCCTCCACAAGGGTTACCATTGACCGTTGCCGTTCGCTTTTCGACCATCCGACCATCCCACACCTCGCAGCCAGCTGAGACGTAAGTACCAGCCGTGGCGAGCGCGCTTCACAGCTCTCCCTGGACGAGGTCTCTCGGAGGTCAATGGAAAGTGATAAACCAAACATTCAATGGAGTGGTTTAAGGGAAAATCTACAGGATACCATAGATTTTCCCATTAAATATGGGGCTTTGCTGTAAATTTTCCCTTAAACCAATCCATTGAAACATTAACAAACCACTGGATTGTAGGGTAATTGGCTTATCAATGGGATATCAATGGGTTTTTTGGGCATAAGATTGTAGGGATACCCCATTGGATATATTGAATACATTGCTTGGATATCCATATTGGGATATATATAAAATAAGCATAAATAAGCAGCTTGTCATTAACAAACCATTGGATATATTGGGATAGCCCCATTGGAGAAATCCACAGGAGGCTATCCGTGTTCACGTGTTCGAATTTGATGATCTGCTGACTGGCTAGCCTGGTGTGGAGCACAGATGTACAACAAGCTATGGTTGTTTCCAAGAGGGTAGCCTCTGGTAATTTAACATAGCTATGGAAAATCACCATTTTTAATGGGTAAATCCACTATAAATGGCCATTTTCAATAGCTATGTTAGTTTACCATAGGGTAGCTCAAGTGACTAAGTGGGTTGATGCCAAAAGCGATATTCCCATAGTCGATGTTGTGGCTGTTGAAGATCTCCGCTGGTTGAACCCTCTGCTCTTCAGACACCTTCTTTGGAGTGGAAGATCTCAATCCCGCACTGAAAATTTTAACAGTTTGACCCATTCACCACCATTCATCAACTAATCTCCTCAAAAATTCTTCTAAAAACGGGCAAGCTTCCCGTGTGACCCAGGTGTGTTGTTTGACATCCCTTATTTTGAAATTCAAATGATACACGGTCGCCCCATCCAAAATATATTGGCACCTCTCATCTGGAGCTGAAGGCTTGGCGCCTGCCTCACTGCGCCGAAGAGGCCTTGCAATGGCAAACGCGAGGTGCAAACCCAACAAACCCGACCCGACCATCTCAAATCATCTCAAAAATCATCTCAAATCCTCGTGGTCAAACAATGATCGGATCACGTTGATTAAGTGTTGATTGGTTCATTATTTATTGGAGATTGGAGATTGGATCGTGATGGATACTGTGGAAGCTCTCAACTCTTCCTTGAGCTCAAACGGAACTTGTCAAATGGAGCGCAAACCAAGGTTTTGCCCATTGCGAATCCTCCCAACACGGGATACCCGGCCGAGTGTGCAGTCCCCATGTTGTGAAAAACTGTGAAGAAAAACTATTTGGAAATGATGTTGCTGTCAAAACAGTCAAAACATGTTTCCATGTGGTGGTTTTATGTAGTTGTTGTTTACAGTATGTAGATTTCATGATCATAGATGATGTTCCGATAGATCATATCAAAAAAAAAGTCCGATACAATCAAATTCAAATCAAATTGATGTTTGATTACTAATGTTCCCCCTTTTTCAAGTGGTGGCTTCTCACAGATTGGCTACGGTTGGCTCCATCTTCGAAAAGACCTGGCTGCAGTCGGCTTGGCCACAAGCGGCACGCGGCGTTCGGGCCGTTCGGGCCAGCGTGCCTGGCACAGGATGATCCAACATGATCCAACTGGGGATATATCACAGGCTGCAGTCGTGTCAGCTACATCAGCTACATCAGCTACAGTACTATGCAGACTATGCAGACTACGCGTGAACTCTCTCTGAATATGTAGAAAGTTGACTACAAAGGTGGAGCCAAAGATGCACTGATATTATATCTTTGTGAACATGCCTGATCTATCTGATAAAGATAAGGATTGTAATATCTATTTGAAAAAACATAATCAAAACATGCCTGACTTTGTGCATTCCCTTTGAAATATCTATTTGAAAAAAGTGCAGTAGTAATGGTCTGAAAAAGACCTTCAATACGGATACAATTCCAGAAAAGTATGTCGCCTTCTGCTAACAGATTCCAACACCATTTCAAATTAAGATCCATTTACAAACACCCTTGTGTTTCTTTGCGATCATGGCATTCTTTGAAATGAATGTTTATAACTATCAGAAAGAGGTTCCTTCAACAAAGTGCATCATCTCTTTGAAAACTGTGTAAGATTTCCTCCAACGTTAAAACAAAATTCCAAATTTCAAGATGGAGTTATTTTGTCTATGTAATGGTCCTTTTATCAAAAGGGTATGGTAATCCTTGAAGAATGTGTGCAAAGTCTTATTTTATGGAACTTTATTCCAAAATGTATATAACCCTTTTACGCTCTTTCTGATATAATATGGATTTCCCTTCGTGCAGAAGGCATTACTTTGGGAACTACCCTCTGCAAAAATGGTGGAAACGATCGATTAAGAAGAGTGCACAACTCGTTCATATTGAATAAATGAACTAGTTCCTTTAGAGAAATAACTGGTTCTTAAGGAACAACAAACAATGAAGACTGAACCTTCTCAACAGGAATATCGCATGTCTGAAGAAAATGATCTTCTATTTTTGCAGGAACAGTGCTTATTGAAAAGGATACTGTATTGTCTTATGGTGGGGTACTTGCCATGTGCAAGCAACATAGTCATCTTCCAATATTTTAAGGAATATTGCGTTGATGCATTGGATATTGCACTTTCTGACATGAATTCTGCATATTAAAAAGGTGGCTGTAAATTGAAAAACACGCTTCATATGGCACACGAATATTGCCTACTTGAAGGGATACCACATCATTTGAAAGAAGATTGCCTTTTTCAAAACAAATGCTGCATATTTTAGAGGATTCCTGCATAATTTGTAGGGGTATTGTTTGTTGAACAAACATTGTACTTTCTCAAAGGAAATTTACAACTAAGGAGACTCTGACACAAGAAATATTATATGAATTTGTATAATATGATGTTGCATGGGAATCGCATGGAAGTAGATTATATCCAAGAATTTTTGAATCAAAACCCAACCTTATTGCCTTATTGATTGATGGCAATTGTGAGCACATAGGTAGGTGAAAAGTATGTGATTAAAAGTGCAACCTGTTCATATCTGGATTAATTTTATTTACCATTTGCAAAAAAAAATGCCATTTATCTCAATTTTCTGCCGCTCACAACAGTTCCCTCAAATCAAGAAATAGGTGTGTATTTATAGGTGTCTGTACGTAATAAAAGCATGTTTCTAGCACAAATCCATTTCCGGACAATGCCCCCACGAAAGCTAGAGTTTTCCCCATGTTGACACCAGAATCTTTAATTATGTTTGTTCAAGATTAGGCTATACCGCTATACGGTTGGTGAACCGCAAGATCGTGCTGGGTAGTGGTGCATGTGTGGAATCTTTTGGTCAACGGTGTGTCCATGCAAGCATTGGTTTTGATGAATAGCCTTTCTGGTGAAGGCGTTTTGAAACGTTGTGGAGGGCGGTGATTTCCCAGAAATATGGATCCAAAAACTTTAGAGGGTTGCCAAAAATATGTTTTTTTTCCAGGGAAAGTTGTGTTCCTCTCAAAGAAATATGAGGCTGAAATGATAAAACAACAGTTCCTTTACTAGGACACCTTCAAAAACTGTCCTACGAATGAAGTATCTGCCGGCTGAAGCAGTTGGCAACTGATGGCAACTGTCAGTCTTCAGCACCACCCGAAGAATACTCAAGATCACATCCAAAGAATCCTTCTGTGTGCAACATGACCATGAATTTCCGTGCTGCATGTTCCAACCTGGGGTCCACGACGACCGCGAACGTCACCCTGGCCGTTGAAGAGTTGAAAAACTGGGGAGACCCAAGCGAAAAAATTAGTTGTGTAATAGTCATCGCCAAAATTTGCGGGAGCATTCATTTATAAAATGGATCGTAATTTTTTTGACATTTGCTGCATTTTCAAATTCATGTTCGCAACCACCTTTAGGGGTTCCCATTCACCCAAAAAGGTTGCCATGTCGAAACATCCAGGGTAGTGATTGCCGCGCTGATCCAATTTTTGGAGGTTCATTGAAACACAAAATGTCAAATATGCCTAGATGGTATGCAGTTCCGCATGGTCCATGGCTGGCGGCACCTCCGCACGGTGCACAGGCGCCATGATCACGTCATCCCAGCAACTCGGCCCCTCGATGATGTGATTTCATCTTATTTCATGAGGTTTTCAACACCGTGCGGGGTACCAACATGCCAACTCACTTGATGCGGCTAAATAACAGGCAAAACAAATAACAGCACAAACAGTTTGAGAAATGTAGTTGCAATTTGGGTTTTCATGAATGGGTTTGTAGTTGAGTGATGAAAGGGTGAAAGGTGGCTTCGCTACCTATCTAACTGATGAGCACTGACGAGCAAAGAAATTAAATTCACGCAGAAATGTCAACACCATCCTCCAAAGACGGCTCTTCAAGAAAACCACCTTCCTTGAGGAGCAACCAACGATTAACAACATGTTCCAAACTGGAATTGCACAAGTTCCACATTTGCATTCACTAAGCACGTTTTTAATTCGCACGTGATGGATCTCTCGTGCGTGCATTTCTTACAAGTAGGTGTTGATGATGTGTTGATCTCTACTGGTTCATCTTCCCATGAAGCAAAAAGTGGAGAGCGTGAAGAAACCTAAAAATCCAAACCCCAACTAATATGGGTGTCTGAAAATGGGATGTGCACCGGGCCATTGACGAAAAAAATATGATTTTCTTATGTATAAACGGTGATTACTTATGATGAATGACCTCTGTGCTCTGCAGTCTGTTTTCCACCTCAAGCAGACTTGGCATCGCTGCAAACTCTGAAAAACTCCAGGGAAGAAGGCAGCAAGGATTTGTCGATACTGTGCAGCCACCACCTTAGGGCCGGGGGGGCTTTGGGTGGCAAATTTCTGCCAGCCCAGGGGGTAATTCATGCAGGGCATGAATGACCTCTCTCCTCTGCAGTCTTTTCCACCGACTTATAATGAGTTGCCTTGCGGCGCCGCAGCAGTGGGAGGATCTGAAAAATCCGGCATTCTCCAAATTCTGAAAACTGCAGGGAAGAAAACAACAAGGATTTGACGACACTTCGCAGCCACAACTTCTCAGAAAAGACTTCAGCAGCGCGGAAGAGATGCAAACCGCACCATCAAATCACAAAGTGAACTGCTCAAGAGAGGAACGGCGTGAAGAAAAGGGGAACCTTTTTGCACAAGTTTGGACTCTTGTTTTCGCTATGAAGCAGTTGCTGAAGTACGGTGCTAATTCCAGTTTCTTGAAGGTAACACTCAAGAGTGCATAAGTGACGAAGCCTCATATGCCTACGGTGACGGGGATCCTTTTGTGGTACAAAAACACAGCTCCACCACCACGCAAGCATCCTAGTGTCAATTGCACTATTTTTGGAGTGAGCACAGCAGCAGAAGTTTATCCCATCCCCGTCTATACGAGGAAGGAGAAATCCCATACAGGTTCGTCAGCTGCAATGTCAGAGAAAACTGCAAGAGCTAAGCGAATTGTAAACGAATCAGCAATGCGAGCATGCTGGACTTTTCCACGGCCATGTCGGCCAAGTTTTGGAGCTGCTACTCACAAAAACACACCAAGTTTGATCTGAGGGCTCTGAATGCTTTTCCTATCCGCATAGCACCGTGAAAAGCTAAAGCTGTGATAGCGCACCATCGTCGCCAACCCCACTGTAAACCAAGGGAGCATGCATTTAACACCAGTTTTGGCAGCGGCCCGAGCTGAACAATTTTCCCATTCAGTAAGTCCCAAGCATCCGCACAAAAATGTCGGCACGTTGGGAACAGTTGTTGCAGAAAAACCACTAAATGGCGAAAAACATGCATCGGTTCGCCTTGAAAGTATAACCAGGTGCCGCAGAAAAAAGACAAAGGGGGTGCTGAACAAATTCCTTGATAAGCTGCGTCGCAAAGCCCCTGCACAGCCATGTCACAAAGCGCTGACGCACTCTAGTTTGCAGCATCTGCGTGGTAGGTTAGACAGTAGCAACATCATTTAAGTCACCAAGGCAGCCGAGGAGATCGGCGTCGAGGGCCAGGAGTTTGTGCCTCGCCGATGCGGCGAAAGCTAGCTCCAGCGCAAGCTGCCGCATTTTCGGCTCAAAATTTGCCACGGGGCTGGAGGATAAGCTTCAGCAGCCTTTGATGGAAAAGTAAAGCGCATGATGCAGTGTCAAGTTGAAGTGCCCCTTCAGATCCTTTTATTTTTACAGCAGCTGTAGATTTAAAGATGACATCCTAATTTCGATTCTATCAAAAAATGAGCGGTTCGAATGGATAGCACAGTGCAACACAAAAATTGAAAACGTCGCCAAAAACTTCAGCTTTGCGGAAAAACAAACGAATTGTATCACACATGCTATTTGTGGAACATTGTGATTTAATTGTCTTTGTGCGAGTCCGCACTGCTGCCAAGCTAGTCGGCAAAACAACCTTTAAAAAAAAGTGCCAGAGGGACCAGGCAACAGGAGGGACAAACAACCTCCAACCGAAAAACAGAGAGAGGGAGGAAGTCAAAGTGGCGGGGGTGTCGTTGGGGTCGACAGTTCTCAGCCATTCTTAGTCACCTCAGTAAGCTGAAGAAAACGTAAAACCGAGAGAGCGGACCGAGACAAACCACACAAGGAAAAACTAAACACAAGAAAGGGCCAAGCCAAAAAGAGGGGGAGAAACCAACACCAGGATAGAAGACAGCGAGGCGGGTAGAACCAACAAAAGCAGAAAAGGGACGCGGGGGGAAGAAAGGCAAGCGGAGGCCAGCAGAAAAAGGAAAGAGACGGCGTCGGTGTAGAAAAAGCGCCGTGCACAGATCTGCGGTCAGATCAAACGCTTCTTCAAAATTCCTACAGAACTACGCAGGCAGACGCGTACGTCAACCACGCACACCAAACACAAGCGCAGAGCGTAAATTCCCAAAACTAATTAAACTAAAGCAATACCGTGTCAAAAGGATTGTTTCACCCTCGACTCCCACATGCTGACGTCAAGCTCCTTCTTTTCGCTCCAGACGCAACACGATCAGCCACGGGGAAACACAAACACAACAAACGAACAAAACAAAACCGGGAAAACAGAGATGTGTTCGTGTTCCCTGTGTCGGTCTGTTTTATGTCAAGTTATGTGACACAGCAGCTCGTTCATTAAATGAACTCCTGACACCAGTCCTTCGAGCCGATGTCTCAACTGGTAAACTCGATTCCAGGTTTCCAGTTAACAAACCTCAAGTTCCTCAAATAAAGGTTTGTTGAAACTATTCCAGCTGCTAGAAGTCTACAAAACTCAATTTCACTAGATGAATTCAAAATCATCGAAACACTCCAAAAGTTCTCAAATCAAACTGGTTCTCATCCAAACGTGAATAACCAGCTCATTAGTCACAAGCTGACTAACTTCTCAAGAACGAAGTGATTCACACAAGGTGTCTGTACAACCTTCTTCTGGATACAAAACATAGTCAGAACACAAAGTTCCTTCTCCAAATCAGCTTTCCACATAGAGATAGCATCTCACAGCTTCTAACCTCAATGTAGAATAGAATGTTCTGTTCGACATTGTCAATGTAGGTCAGCCAAATACAGTTGTATCGCTGAAGTCTTTCGACCACTGTAATAGCCAATCCACAATGTAGACCAAAGTCATCTCAAAACAATGTCGTCCTCATAGAGATAACCAAAGTCATCTCAGGAACGATAAAGTGCACACCATAAGATCAAGTGTATGATCCATAGGTCACGATGACGATGATGTAGGTATTGTCCTCACAATACCGAAACATCTCATCACAAAACTCTCAGACAAATAAGACGAATAAATATGGCCATTGTCCTCACAATGCCAATGCATCTTAATGTCCAAACTCAAAGTGTAGTAGCTTCTCTCCATCAGATATTTCCCAGCTAGCTTAAACTCTTCTCCAAGAGTTTCTAGCTGTGTTCTCATCACTTGGAGAGAATGAACTCCACAATGTTCAGTGTCCACGACACAAGAAGTAATCCCAATGTCAAACCAATGTAGGTATCTTCAGCTCAAGCAATAAGCTGTACCAGACTCAAGTCGAATCCAGAATAAGATGTAGAACTGATCAATATACCACAATCAGTATTGACCTGATCAATGACATCATCCTGATGTCAGAAATGATAAGTCCGAAGACCAATAGAATATTGTGATACAGGTTGGTCATATACAAGATTCCTTCCGCAATAAGTAGAGTGTTCTCTACCAAACTTCCATGACGCGATGAACTCTTGCAGTAGCCTTCCACGTATCTTCTGTGCATAAACTATACAACCATGATGAATGACATGTCGCTTCACCCTTAACCAAAGGGTGCTCCCATAGGGTGTCAAATTTCCATACCCCCTTTCGACATGACATCTCATCCATTCACATCACTGCCAGGTACGGATACCATTCAAATATCCGCAGAGAAATGTTCACGTTCCAGATCATATCCATGATCAAAAGATATCCAAAGAAGCACACGTCTTCCAAAACGCAAGGTAGATGATAAAGCATCATCCAAAAACTCATCTCGTTCGACTCATGCATAATGTCGTAACTTCCAAATTCAAAATCTCCTCTATTGCGAAAACCAGATGTAAGAATACCAGACTCAGTCCAAAGACTCTTAAAGTCTTTCCAGTACTAAACTCGTCTTCCAAAATCCAGTTCCTCGGATAAACCATGGCGTCGGTAACGATATATCTACAGTGCTGTTGTCTTCCTACAACACACAAAACAACAACAGAACAAAACAAAACAAAACAAACACACACACACACGAGACCCAAGACGAAACCTAACGTCACACGAACGGAGTCAACACGAAAACAAAGGCCAACTGTTTCAGCTAATCCGCACCTTCGTGTAGAAGGTAGGCGTATGAAAAGAAAACGCAAGTGAAATGATATCACTCATGCAACTCATCTCAAATTGAAAGCAAGTGAAGTACAGTTCGCAGTCACTGCACAACAAATTCAAAATGTTCTGAATGAAAATCTCTCACAGTCAGGGTCAGGACTAGCTAAGATTGGCACAGAATGAGGAAGCGGTGAGAGACGTTCTAGGACAGAACAACTCTCACAGTTTCATCATCGCATAGATCGCCGTCCCCCTTTCAACGTC